AAGATGTATATACATTTATGATGAATAACATGACACAGGTTGTCAAAATATTTTGGATTAAGGATAGACGTAAGATTTCTAAGACACAGAGATACAGAGATGCACACAGATAGAAACATTGATACTGTTACACACACACAGATTTGCAATCACACACACACACATGCATGCACAAACACAGGCACACGCACACTCACTCTCACACTCACTCACTCACTCACTCACTCACTCACTCACTCACTCACTCACTCACTCACAAACACACACACACACACACACACAACAAACACATGTGCACCCCCACATATACAGATATGCTCCCCTCACACACACGTGCACAATCCCACACACCTCACAAAAAATTGTTTTGCAAATTCATTGTACTTTTCTTTCTATGGTAATTGATTATTATATGGGGATTATCAGGAAAATTAAGCTTACTTAACTACCAGAATCCAGTTCCTAATATGAAAATAATGCTTGTTGAAATATGTCTTACAGATTTATATAAGACATTTGAGACTTGTTTTATACTTTCTAGTCATATATTGTGATTTGTCCAAGATGAACAGTATATCAAAAGTTCAATATTATAGGTTGAGAATCCCATATCTGAAATATTGAAAAGCAATAGTCACACAGAAAAGTGACAACTATTATGCAATAATGATGAGCCATTTGCTCTGTGAGTGGTTTGTTGGAAGAACCAGAAGATTTTGACCCAATCAGAGCCAAATTGATGGCTGATGCAAGTTATCTTCACAGCACTCCTTAAGCCTGCAGTACAAAGATTCCTGTCCAAGATTTTTTTTCTAATAATGATAATTTATTTGTCTCACTGTAATTATGTTTATTCATCCTGGCATTTACCCAAGGTAATGAATTAGGTTTAACCGAGAAATGATAAAAAAAGTCCTAAATTATTTCAGATTTAGGATTCTTACCCTGTGTCAGATTTTCTCAGTGGTTTCTCTTATTTTTACCCATTTACTGTAGTTAATGAAGATATGTATACATATGAAAAATATGTATATATGTTTGCACGTCTACATAATGAAAGAAATTTGTATTTTGTGTGCCAGATTAAAATTGATTTTGTATTTTCAGAAATTGATCATAGACTTGTACATAAGGGAAAGTTTTGTATTGCATGATTACCCCTTTTCTTTTTGATATTGTACTATTTACTCCACATGAAATATGAATAATACAAAAAGCTCACTCATGTGAATCTGAAATGTAAGATGATTAGGTGAACGTGTATGTTGATTTGTGGTGTAAAGTGCGGTGAAAGCTATATTGTGCTGTTAATTAATTCCTGAGTGAGAAAATAAAATTTAGATAAATAACATTTGCAATATTACAACCAAATGATCAATTAGATTGGTTATATTAATTTTGCTGTTTATATTCATATTAGGGTTATAATCTTTCGTGGGACTAAACTACACTTATTATCTGCTTCTTTGGTTCATCTTCACACCAATCCAAAGAATAAAGGAAAAGATAAATAAAAATTATAACCCCAGGTAATTGCAGAGCTGTTGCTAATGCCAAAGCACTAGCTTAGGTGGCCTATGGTATTTTATTCAGGAATATCAAGTTTTATATGAATGATGGAGATAGAGCAGGTTTACAGTTATGTTATATATCATGGGTAATTGCTATTTATGCATTACCTACAGAATATGTATGTATATATATGTATATACACACACACATGCTCACACACACACACACCAACACACACACACATGTATATATATAAGTATATATATATGTATGTATATATATATATATATATATATATATATTTATATATATATATATATATATGTATATATATATATATAATAATATATATAGATATATATATATATATATATATGTATATATATACATATTTTATATATATGTATATATATATATATATATATAATATATATATATATATATAAATTATTATATATTATGTATATATATATATATATATATATATATATTATATATATAATGTATATATATATATATATATATTATTATATATATATATAATATATATATATATATATATATATATTTATATATATATTTAAATTAGTTTTTTATGTGCCCATACATATGCCAAAAAAAGGTCTACAGTTTATTTGAAAGTAGTTGTTGCTTTCGTACCATTTGATTTAGAATTGTTGTTTTGATTCCCATGCATACTTTGTATATGTATAAGTATATCTTTTCTTCCTATAATTTGCTCTGTTATTTGAAAGGAGTCTGTCAGTCAGTACAATTTTTAAGCTAATTTGGAATCATATGCACATACAAATACACAAATAGATTGCTATAATGAGCTTGTAATGTTTATATTTATAAGTATACAGTCCACATGAGAGATTAGACAATCTGCATATCATGCTAGGAAATTGTGATTTTAGAAGGCATGAACTTTAAGTGAAATGATGCAATCACATTTATTGAATTTTACTAGATTTCATTATGCAGC